GAACAGCATGTTAAAATTTATGAATGCGTCTGTGGGGTCTACCGCTGGATGGAATGGACTTGAGTCGAGGACGGGATGGAGGACGCATCCCGTTCTCACACTAGGCTGGTTAAAGCAGCGGCCGTCCTCCCCAGCCGCATTCATCAATTTTAACATTCTGTGTATTAAAAATTGGTTTGTTCTCACATATAAATTAATATTCTTATACATAAAAATTGTATGTATAGTTTGGCGTAGGTTAGGTTAGGTTAGGTTAGGTTAGGTTAGGTTAGGTTAGGTTAGGTTAGGTTAAGTTAGGTTAGACACTTCTCTGCCGATTGCTCTGGCTGAATCCTCCCTAACAACCCAAACTGCTGATTCCTCTGCTACCTCGTCCGCTCCTCGTGAAGGTAAAGACAGCAGGCAACTTACCCTTTTACCCTTTACCCTAGGCTCTCCTCCCTGCTCGTCATTCGTAGGCTCACTCCAGCAGTCTGGCTCGCCCTTCCCCTGCTAGATCGACTCCGAGAGACAAGCCCAGAACTGGTATGTAGTCTGACATTATCTTTGGGTCTTTGAGGTCCCTTAAGAATTCTCCTTGCCCCTCCCGGTTAGAAAGATAGAACAAAACACATTACATTCTCCAGACCAACATGCTCGAGGCTTTTAAACCAACGCTTAAGCCATTTAACAGAGGATCTGTTGTAGTTTTAGGTCCAAAGAGGAGCAACTCTTGTTAACAGGGATTCATCGACTGGACGGTAATTTTCTACAGGAGATTGCTAACCCGCACAGTGGTAGTTTGTGTCGGTGGGGGGGGGGGGGGGGGGGGGGGGGGGGGGGGGATAACTATCGCTCGTATAGAAGAGCTGATGGTTACGGTGTTGGGGTCTGTGTGACAACACTGGGAGCAGTCTGTCCTACTAAAGTGATAATACTTACAAGAACCACTTGATCGAACGTAGAAAAAAAAAAAATAGTAGCACCCTAAAAAGTTCACTTAAACATTCGCAGACTACGGTTGTGTATCTACCTTAGTCTGTACCTTAGTACCTTAGTCTTAGTCTTAGTAATATATCAAGAAACCTAGGGTTTCTTGGATAGGTTAGATTCGTTATATGTAATTTAATTTTTTTTTATTTTTTTTACTCTGCTACAGTAATACAAAACGTGAACATTTTTGGGTTCTAACAGTATATATGTTGTACGTTTAACCAAATAGTTGCTATACGTACTATCAATTTAGGAAGGTGGGCTGCTTCCCCAAGCATGGCAGTGGCTCTAACATCAGGTCTCGGCGCCGTCGCCTACAGTGCCAATCACAGGGGAGGCACTCCACGGTATTTATTGAGTCCGTTAGTTCTGAGGTGATTGACGGTGAAGGTCTTAGTGTACTTTCTGTCCAACTGTCCCGCCATAGAGTAGCTTCTAACGAGCCAATCATCTTCATTTGGGAAGAACTCGGACATATAACAGACGGAACTTTTTCAGTGTCAGAGTAGTTAACGGATGGAATGCATTAGGCAGTGATGTGGTGGAGGCTGACTCCATACACAGTTTTAAATGTAGATACGATAGAGCCCAGTAGGCTCAGGAATCTGTACACCAGTTGATTGACAGTTGAGAGGCGGGACCAAAGAGCCAAAGCTCAACCCCCGCAAGCACAAATAGGTGAGTACAAATAGGTGAGTACACACAACTAGGTGAATTCAACTAAGTGAACACACACACACACACACACACACACACACACACACACACACACACACACACACACACACACACACACACACACGTAATCAGTTTTAAACAAAGACAATTGCATAATGACATGTGTTTCAGTCCGTTAAGCTATTGGTAATGGCCTTGCATATCAAACGTAAATAAATAATCGCATTAAAAGCTTGCTTAAGTTTGTTCATACTCGTATAACTGCGGTCATTTAATTATTTACAAGTTGCTAAAGTTTCAGACGTGAACTCAAAATTGCCCATACATGATCTGCAAGTAATTTTATTCATTTGTGCAAAGTAAAAAAAAAATAATATATGAATGAGTATGAGTGAGTGGGTAGATGGGTATGACGCAAGGGTGAGTGGGTAAATGGGTAACACGCAATGGTGAGTGAGTAGATGGGCATGACGCAATTAAGGGCAGATACAAAAGTATGACGAAAAGTACTTGGGAAAGTTGGGAAGATTGGAATGACGCAAAGGGTGAATGAGTTGAAAGATACGTTGAAAAGATGACTGGGTCGAAGGCTGTGACGCAGAGATGAGCGCTTACAAGGGTATGGCGCAATTGACAGTAGGTATATGGGTATGACTCAATGAAGAATGGGGACATAAGTATGGTTTCCTATAACAAAAGTCCTGTTAAATCCTGCCCATTCTCCAGGCTACAACCCATAACAGGTACCTAAATCCCAGCTACCTATTTACTGCTGCTTATTTCAATGTTTCACTCTGCCGGGGAGTCGAACCCATGACCAACTGGATGAGAACCAACAACAATAACATATGGGGAATGACCACGGGAAAATATATAACTTCTTTTGTGAAAAGTTAACCTACGTGTGTTCTGTTGGCAGGTACAGGGAATTTTGTATTTTTCACAAAGTCACCCCCATAATTACATTACAGTAAACAAAGAAAACTGGGTACGCTCATTTAGCAAATCCCATTTTCTCCACAATATATTCAGTACAAGAAGAAATAAAATAGGTCAGGGGGAACGACGAACTCAACAAATTATCAAAGGAATGCTGTCTTAGCTTGCCCAAAAAAAGTGAAAAAAAAGGAAACGTACATTTAGGAACATGAGAAAATTACACGGAGTTATCCATTAACTGAGGCTTAACGTTTTCTTTGACGCGTTAAGTCCATGTAAACACTGACTTTTTTCTAAGCGACTCACGCACATAATGGCGTCTCACCTGACCAAAAGGTAAAATTAACTTCCTGGCATTTATTTCCCTCTTCCTGGAATTTAGAGATACTTTTGCTTCATACTGAAATTCTTGGAAGGTAAGGTAATTATGCGAAGAACGCGGTAAGCCTGTATGACTATATAGCACTTGTAAGGGATATGCGAACGTCTGGGAGAGAACGGAGGGGAGGAATCCCAACTATTTGTACTATCGGGGCTCGAACACGGGCCTGCAAGAAGCGAGGCGTTCGCTGTACCGACCAATCCCAGTGAATGTACAAATCCACGAAAGTTATTTGATATATACGAACTAATTCTTCTGTTAAGGGATTTAAATTCCTGTAAAGTTACTTTCGAAATATTACGCAACATTTTAATGTAAAAAAAATATATGCCATTGTTAGTTAATGCAATTAGTGATGACCTTGAGACCTTTGAGGTCGCGAGTGATTAATGGTATTACGAGGTTCTCCTTTATGACTTGGCTGTACCAGGTGCAGTGCCGCGGTGCGTGGTGCTGGGGCGAGGTCTCCTACACTGTGTTTGGTGTTCACCTGAACACCATCAGTCACCTGGAGCTGTGACACGTCCTCTCTCTTGTGCTTTTAATTAACTCGTGAATAATGTTACGTAAATAATGTAAGAACATTAAAATAATATTAATAATGGTAAAATTATAACAAAGAATAAGTAATAAATAGGAGGAAAGAGAGAGAGAGAGAGAGAGAGAGAGAGAGAGAGAGAGAGAGAGAGAGAGAGAGAGAGAGAGAGAGAGAGAGAGAGAGAGAGAGAGAGAGAGAGAAGGGAAGGGAACTATGAGGAGGAAGCGCCAAGCCATTGCGACTATATAGCACGGGGAAGGGGTCAGGATAAGGATTTGGGATGGGACGGGGGAAAGGAATGATACCGAAACCACTTGGACGGTCGGGGATTGAACACTGACCTGCATGAAGCGAGACCGTCGCTCTACCGTCCAGCCCAAGTGGTTGGACAGAGAGAGAGAGAGAGAGAGAGAGAGAGAGAGAGAGAGAGAGAGAGAGAGAGAGAGAGAGAGAGAGAGAGAGAGAGAGAGAGAAAGTCAGAGGCAGAAAACGAGAGAGATGTAAGAGACAGCGAGATAACTATGAACTAATTACACGAGGGAATTAATAACTCCTACATTGTTCTATCCTTATCCTTCATTCCTCTGGCTCCATACCACCGTCCCCCGTTACAATCACTTCCATCCCAAAGTGTCTGAAGATGTACGAGTGAAGACATAATTAAATGAGCCATCATAACAGTTGCCAGGGTTTTGAAGGGCATGAAAGTTAGGCCCAGTCCTGGGGAGATTTTGATGCCCAGATCGTGTGTGTGACTCCTCCATGCCCCGGTATTGTGTGGCTCCGATGCCCAGTCTTGGTGTAGCCATGATATCCAAGCACAGTGGCTATGTCTGGTGGTATGACACTAATATGCATTACCCAGGTCCAAATCATTCCTAAAATCTACAATATCTGTTTCTCCCTCTTCTTCTATAAGGTCGTTACGACAATTAAATCCTGACTGCAAATTATTTAAAAACTAGTTCGCTGAAAACTAATTTGGGATTTCCTGCAACTTCTATGATTTATGCCATCAAGTTACACGTTATTGTTCTTTGCAAACAGTGCAATTGCAAGACCTCATTGCTGAGCTTGATAACTTTTTCCAACATATATATAAAGTTTGCTTTACCACTTTACCAGTTATATGTAGACATACTTGATGGGTCGTGTTGTACAGTAGTCTACGTCATTGATTCACAACCGAAGGACCTGGGTTCAACCCCCAAACACGACAGCAACGATTGGGCACGTTTCCATTTACCTGATGCCTCTGTTCCTCTAGCAGTAAAATAGATATATTATCTCGAAGGTCAGTATTTGACCTAAGAGTGTTAAGAGCCCTTAACAACGATAAGTATACCTTATATGTCAAGGGGAAGAGTCAGAATGGTCTGCTGGGTCAATGTACCCAGTTAAATCCACAGTATAAACTACTTCACTTTTTCTTCACACTGCTGTCTCTAAAGATTCTGTTGTGTGTGTTAGCAGAACGTGTCTTATATCGAGATGCGTAAGACCCATTAAAGGTGTAAAATTAACTTCAGAGTTAATTTTTACGCTTCTCAAGTGAAAATTAATAAAAAAAATGCAGAAAAGACTCTTGATAGAATCATTGATATAACCATTTCGGTCATATTGATTAAAACATTAGTACAAAAACGCCTGCTTTCCAAATATATATACATATATCTCATCTAAACCCAGATGAGACAGCATGATAACGATTCTTCTATAATCATCTGGTCTCAGATGAGATAGCGGTTGTATAACCAACTGGGTCCAGATCAATATTCGAGCAAGGTTGCAGGGGACGCTACTGCATTAGTTGCGTGCAAGTTTAGCAACATTTAAATACTTATACGCTATCGATAGTATTGTGGGGGATAGCACTAGATCTTCTACTTCTGAGGTCTAGGTTCGTATTCATAACTAGAACTACTGTACAGTATAGCTTGGAAGATTGTTCATGCTTCTAAAAACACACACACACACACACACACACACACACACACACACACACACACACACACACACACACACACACACACACACACACACACACACACACACACACACACACACACACACACACACACAGTGAATACATTGCAAAGATAAATCTCAGAACAATTTCATCATGATGTGATTGCCAGGGTGTTCTCACCCATTCACAAACCTCTCCTCCCTCCCCCAACACTGAAAGCGAAGAGACAAAGGTAAGGGGGTCCTCCCTACAATGTGTGTGACCTCACACACCACCTTACCCATACCTCAGCCATCATTATTCCTTACAGTTCTGGGTAGGAAACTCTGACCTATTTCTCTACCATCTGCGCCAGTCGCCACCTCTGACCTCTATAGTGTGGTCCATTTTGTCTGGTGTACCCTCATTGTCCTCAAACCTTTCCAAGAACAAATTTCACTTCATATTGCTTTTGCTAAGGCAAACTGGGATACCCCTGAGGAGATAATCACTAAATACCTGGAATATTAGCACACAAGCCTTCAACTCTGACGCACCTGAAATGTCTTATATTTTAGAATGTCTTATTTATTGTGATGTCTTGCTTATTGCATTGTCTTATTTGAAGAAATGTTGAGTATCTAGAAATATTTTATTTCTAAAAATGTCTAATGTCTAGAAACGACTTATTTTTTATTTTGTTCCTTTTTTTCATTAATTTGTATTTCTCGAACTATCCTGCTTCCTGCAATGCCTTAGTTCTTAAAATGTTCTATTTATCAAAATATCTTGAAATAAATCTGCATCAAATAAAGCAAGAATGTTTCCCCTATCCTGTCCACACCCAAATTTCTTTGTCTCTTATTCAAGGTCCACCGGTGACGTGCGAGGCATCTACAAAGGGCAAACAAATAACACAGACACAACGAAAGCTCAGGAAAGACAAACACAGGACATGGATCACGGCAGGAAATCAATGCAGGTGCACCATCAGTGCAGACAGAAGGCAATTTATTACGGCTAAAACACAGGTTCTTCACACGCAGGTCAGTAATATACCTTCCCCTCGTCCTTGGATAAATTATTTTACCATAACTCTCAACCCCTGTTTTGCCACATCTGTCTTCTCTTGGGTGGATTTATTTGACTCTTCGTAAGTCTGTGTTTCACTTTCCCGTTCGATAATTTATCCCCTGCGTCTATATCACAGAGGAAAACAATTCTTACGTGGTAGAAGACAAGACTCAGCTCTTGTCTTCTTAGTGACCAGAGCTGAGTGGGTCTCAGGGTAGGTTCCACCAGTAGTTTAGTGAACTTTCTGTTGGGCGAGTCACTGAAGTCTGTCGGGTGTGGCAGATAGACATAAGAGGACAGAAGGTGTTCAGTCACTGATGTCTGTCGGGTGTGGCAGATAGACATAAGAGGACAGAAGGTGTTCAGTCACTGATGTCTGTCGGGTGTGACTGATATTAACAAGATGGCAGATGTTTTGGTCACTGACTTCTGTCAGGAGCCAGAGACAGCAGACATCAGGTCACTGACTTCTGTCAGGAGCCAGAGACAGCAGACATCAGGTCACTGACTTCTGTCAGAAGCCAGAGACAGCAGACATCAGGTCACTGACTTCTGTCAGGAGCCAGAGACAGCAGACATCAGGTCACTGACTTCTGTCAGGAGCCAGAGACAGCAGACATCTGGTCACTGACTTCTGTCAGGAGCCAGAGACAACAGACAGCAGGTCACTGACTTCTGGCTGCTGTGTGAGCGAGCATGGTCAACTTTGCTGATCATTTTCTTAATCCTCCAAAAAAAAAAAATAGCATCAACTGCGTGCTGATTATAATTTCGCCTGAATGGAGGTAGTAAATTAAAATGAAATATGACCCTGCTATAAATCCTCGACTATCTCTTCTTTAAATATCTATATAAATTCCTCTCTATCTATATCTATATTTATGTAATGAAGGCTGAGATACTGAGAGTGGAGAGACAATGGGGCAGACTAAGCTTGGCATGTCTCTGGGCAGACGTGGTGGTTTAATGTGTGTGAGTCAGTAACTGTGGACCATAATAGGCAAGGTCAGGGACCCCGGTGAAGAGGACCTCAACACCACTCCCTTCTCTCTCTCTCTCTCTCTCTCTCTCTCTCTCTCTCTCTCTCTCTCTCTCTCTCTCTCTCTCTCTCTCTCTCTCTCTCTCTCTCTCTCTCTCTCTCTCTCTCTCTCTCTCTCTCTCTCTCTCTCTCTCTCTCTCTCTCTCTCTCTCTCTCTCTCTCTCTCACTATCTCTCTCTCTCTCTCTCTCTCTCTCTCTCTCTCTCTCTCTCTCTCTCTCTCTCTCTCTTTTTTCTCTCTCTCTCGTGAGAGACAGACCTAACATCACGCTACCACTATTACCAATGAATCTACCATCTTGCCATCACCCTGCTATCTTTCTACCAACGCTCTGCAATCATCCTACCAACATTCTACCACCCCCCTACCACCACGTAACCACCACCAAGCCATCTCTCTCTCTCTTGCCTAATCCACCACCAACTTACACAAAGCAGCTCCTTTTCATTTCCATACTGTATTCGACGGTATTTAAACTTCTGTATTTACATCTAAAGTGATCTTATTCAGTAATATTATTGATGATATATTTAAGTATTTTTATAGAATTCAGAAAATAAGTATTCTGCAGTTTAATCTCTTATCTTCTGCTTATATTCTCAAGTATTAAAGGTAAACCAAATATAACGGAGAAAATACGTAGTGAAATGTGGGTTTATGTGACCGTAGAGTTACACGGAGGTAGACCGGCGCGTTGGCGTGTTCTTTTTTAAGTACTCACCTAATTGTACTCACCTAATTGTGCTTGCGGGGGTTGAGCTTTGGCTCTTTGGTCCCGCCTCTCAACTGTCAATCAACTGGTGTACAGATTCCTGAGCCTACTGGGCTCTATCATACCTACATTTGAAACTGTGTATGGAGTCAGCCTCCACCACATCACTTCCTAGTGCATTCCATTTATTAACTACTCTGACACTGAAAAAATTCTTTCTAACGTCTCTGTGGCTCATCTGGGTACTAAGTTTCCACCTGTGTCCCCTTGTTCGTGTCCCCTTGTTCGTGTTTGACAGTCGTTCTTTGTGCCTTTTATCCTGCCGAACACTGTATATCATTTCGACTCACAACCCCATACACCGTTTACCCATACCCGCACTGATACCCATCCATGATACCCAAATGATTCCCATCCTCACTCTATATGATACCCTCCTCTATATTCTCCTCATATCATCTTGTAACACCTATAAAAGTTTCTCCTACACCTATTTACCTTTCCTTCATTCTATCTTCTACACCCTTTCCCTGCACTTTACTGTTTCGTCCAACCACTGTTTCCTCGCACTATACAACTCTCAGTGTCTCGCCCAAACACAATATTTCTCGTCTCATTCACAATGAAATCTCAATACTGTGAGTTATCTATGAGAAAATGTTTGGTGGAATCGAACTATCAAATTCCTGGTGATTTCTGGCGGGCTCAAAGTTGTGTTACTTTTAGCACGTCTTGTTCTATGGGTAGGGCCAGAGTGTCGGCGGGGGGGAGGGGGGGACCCTGGATGCTGGTTCAGTCCCATCTTCCTGCTACAAATCATAGTTGGCGGATTGGGTTACAAGTAGCCCAATTGGGCTCCTTGTATAGCTAAATTAAAAAGCCAGCTATGAACGTTGCTATCTTGAGGTTATCTTGAGATGATTTCGGGGCTCTAGTGTTCCCGCGGCCCGGTCCTCGACCAGGCCTCCACCCCCAGGAAGCAGCCCGTGACAGCTGACTAACACCCAGGTACCTATTTTACTGGCAGGTAACAGGGGCATAGGGTGAAAGAAACTCTGCCCATTGTTTCTCGCCCACACCGGGAATCGAACCCCGGTCCACAGGATTACGTGTCCCGCGTGCTGTCCGCTCGGCCGACCGGCTCCCATTGCATTCCATCACTGCTTACACAATCAGTATTAGTGTTAACTTATCGCCACGCTAATCTCGGTTACGTTTCTTAAGAAGAAATTTAACCCAATTCATAAATAATTGCTTAAATTTCGTTGCAATTAACAGGATCATTACAGCGTCATTTTTAATATCCAGAAGAACTGTAACTTACTCTTCGGTTTTGCCAGCACGGGACGACACTATTTACGGCGGAGGGCTCGTTACTATGGCCAAATAATTGCCTTGAGATAATTACCGCTTGTTTGCGTGCCGTACAATATTATCAGAACGTGAGTATTCACCGTGATAATTATGGTGATAATTAAACAATAATACTGATAATTCTACTAATATTACTACTACTATTTCAACTACTATTAATCTACTACTATTTAATCTACTTCTACTACTACTACTACTACTACGATTTCAACTACTACTACTACTACTATTTCATCTACTTCTACTACTACTACTACAACTATTTCAACTACTATTAATCTACTACTATTTCATCTACTTCTACTACTACTACGATTTCAACTACTAGTAATACTACTACTACTACTACTACTATTTCATCTACTTCTACTACTACTATTTCAACTACTACTAATCTACTACTATTTAATCTACTTCTACTACTACTACTACTACTACTTCTACTACTACTATTTCAACTACTACTAAATACTCCTACTACTATTTCATCTACTTCTACTAATACTACGACTACTATTTCAACTACTTCTATAATTCTACTACTTCTTTTCTACTTCTACTGTAATACTATTGTAATGCTTCAATTACAAATTATTATAAGAATAAGACAAATACCTTACCCCCCCCACTCATTAAAAAGGGGGAAGGTGGTTTAGAAAATGAAAAGACTCAAATTGCAGCACCTTTAATAGCAGTTCTAACGACCTATTCATCACTAACAGCGTGGTATTTCTGCCTCTGGTCTAACCAACTGTTGTTAGCTGAATGTCAACAGACAGGCGGGCAATTGTGAGGAGGATGAGCAATAATAATAATAGTTATTATTTTTATAGCTCCAGAAGCTCTATATCAGTGTCAGCCCCCAGCTCTAGAAGCTCTATATCAGTGTCAGCCCCATCTTTAGGAGCTCTACACCAGTGCCACCCCCAGCTCTAGAAGCCCTACACCGGTGCCACCCCCAGCTCTAGAAGCTCTACATCAGTGCCACACCCCAGCTCTAGAAGCTCTATATCAGTGTCAGCCCCCAGCTCTAGAAGCCCTACACCGGTGCCACCCCCAGCTCTAGAAGCTCTACACCAGTGCCACCCTCAGCTCTAGAAGCTCTACATCAGTGCCACCCCCAGCTCTAGAAGCTCTACACCAGTGCCACCCCCAGCTCTAGAAGCTCTACATCAGTGCCACCCCCAGCTCTACAAGCTCTACACCAGTGCCACCCCCAGCTCCAGGAGCTCTACACCAGTGCCACCCCCAGCTCTAGAAGCTCTACACCAGTGCCACCCTCAGCTCTAGAAGCTCTACATCAGTGCCACCCCCAGCTCTAGAAGCTCTACACCGGTGCCACCCCCAGCTCTAGAAGCTCTACACCGGTGCCACCCCCAGCTCTAGAAGCTCTACACCGGTGCCACCCCCAGCTCTAGAAGCTCTACATCAGTGCCACCCTCAGCTCTAGAAGCTCTACATCAGTGCCAACCCCAGCTCTAGAAGCTCTACACCAGTGCCACCCCCAGCTCTAGAAGCCCTACACCGGTGCCACCCCCAGCTCTAGAAGCTCTACACCAGTGCCACCCTCAGCTCTAGAAGCTCTACACCAGTGCCACCCCCAGCTCTAGAAGCTCTACATCAGTGCCACCCCCAGCTCTAGAAGCTCTACATCAGTGCCACCCCCAGCTCCAGGAGCTCTACACCAGTGCCACCCCAGCTCCAGGAGCTCTACACCAGTGCCACAAGCAGTGCCACCTCCAGCTCCAGGAGCTCTACACCAGTGCCACAAGCAGTGCCACCTCCAGCTCCAGGAGCTCTACACCAGTGCCACAAGCGGTGCCACCTGAGCTCTAGAAGCTCTACACCAGTGCCACCACCAGCTCTAGAAGCTCTACACAAGTGCCACCCTCAGCTCTAGAAGCTCTACATCAGTGCCACCCCCAGCTCCAGGAGCTCTACACCAGTGCCACAAGCAGTGCCACCCCCAGCTCCAGGAGCTCTACACCAGTGCCACCCCCAGCTCTAGAAGCTCTACACCAGTGCCACCACCAGCTCTAGAAGCTCTACACCAGTGCCACCCTCAGCTCTAGAAGCTCTACACCAGTGCCACCCTCAGCTCTAGAAGCTCTACACCAGTGCCACCCCCCAGCTCCAGGAGCTCTACACCAGTGCCACAAGCAGTGCCACCCTCAGCTCTAGAAGCTCTACATCAGTGCCACCCCCCAGCTCCAGGAGCTCTACACCAGTGCCACAAGCAGTGCCACCTCCAGCTCCAGGAGCTCTACACCAGTGCCACAAGCAGTGCCACCTTCAGCTCTAGAAGCTCTACACCAGTGCCACCCCCCAGCTCCAGGAGCTCTACACCAGTGCCACAAGCAGTGCCACCCTCAGCTCTAGAAGCTCTACACCAGTGCCACCCCCAGCTCCAGGAGCTCTACACCAGTGCCACAAGCAGTGCCACCCTCAGCTCTAGAAGCTCTACAGCAGTGCCACCTCCAGCTCCAGGAGCTTCACACCAGTGCCACAAGCAGTGCCACCTCCAGCTCCAGGAGCTCTACACCAGTGCCACAAGCAGTGCCACCTCCAGCTCCAGGAGCTCTACACCAGTGCCACAAGCAGTGCCACCTCCAGCTCCAGGAGCTCTACACCAGTGCCACAAGCAGTGCCACCCCCAGCTCCAGGAGCTCTACACCAGTGCCACAAGCAGTGCCACCCCCAGCTCCAGGAGCTCTACACCAGTGCTACAAGCAGTGCCACCCCCAGCTCCAAGAGCTCTACACCAGTGCCACAAGCAGTGCCACCCCCAGCTCCAGGAGCTCTACACCAGTGCCACAAGCAGTGCCACCCCAGCTCCAGGAGCTCTACACCAGTGCCACAAGCAGTGCCACCCCCAGCTCCAGGAGCTCTACACCAGTGCCACAAGCAGTGCCACCCCCAGCTCCAGGAGCTCTACACCAGTGCCACCCCCAGCTCCAGGAGCTCTACACCAGTGCCACAAGCAGTGCCACCCCCAGCTCCAGGAGCTCTACACCAGTGCCACAAGCAGTGCCACCCCCAGCTCCAGGAGCTCTACACCAGTGCCACAAGCAGTGCCACCCCCAGCTCTAGAAGCTCTACACCAGTGCCACCTCCAGCTCCAGGAGCTCTACACCAGTGCCACAAGCAGTGCCACCTCCAGCTCCAGGAGCTCTACACCAGTGCCACAAGCAGTGCCACCTCCAGCTCCAGGAGCTCTACACCAGTGCCACAAGCAGTGCCACCTGAGCTGGTATCAGGGTCCACAAAGAGACAGTGTTCGGGGAAGCGGTCAATACAACAGGAAACACTGTTGACTCATCCTTTCACCAGGCTGCCACCTCACCCTTGACACCTCATCCTTGGCACCTCACCCTTGGCACCTCGCCCTTGGCACCTCATCCTGCCACCTCTCCCTTGGGCCGAAAGAGCAAAGCTCAACCCCCGCAAACACAACTAGGTGAATACAAGGTCACTGGTGGCTGAGTGGACAGCACGCTGGATACGCAGTAACGAGATCCGGGGTTCGATTCCCGGCGCTCGCGGAAAGAGATGGGCAGAGTTTTTTTCACCTTGATGCTCCTGTTAGCCGTGAACAGGTACCTGGGAGTTAGACAGCTGTTACGGACTGCTTCCTGGAGGTGTGTGTGTGTGTGGACAAAAAAGTTAGTAGTTAGTAATAGTTGATTGATTGACAGTTGAGAGGCGGGCCGAAAGAACAGAGCTCAACCCCGGCAAGCACAGCTAGGTGAATACAACTAGATGAATACACACACACACACACACATACACACACACACACACACACACACACACACACACACACACACACACACACACACACACACACACACACACACACAAAAAAAAAAAAAACAAGTCATCTTGGTGGGGGAAGGGAAGCTTTCACCTTTCCAAACACACGTCCTCCACCGGTCTTAAAAGAACAACGACCTTCACATAACCTGTCCTCAGGTGCAGCGTATAATACACACACACAGACAAAGAGAATGAGATTCCAGAAGACTAGTGGTCTCTCTCTCTCTCTCTCTCTCTCTCTCTCTCTCTCTCTCTCTCTCTCTCTCTCTCTCTCTCTCTCTCTCTCTCTCTCTCTCTCTCTCTCTCTCTCTCTCTCCCTCTGTTGTTTTTGTATCTCTATGTCTATGCGTGTTTCTGCATTTCCTTATGTCGTTTTGTTTAATTCCTCGCTCTCTGTAAATCTGTTTTTTACTGATTGTTATCGGTGTATTTGCATGCCAAGCCTTGATTTCTCTCTCTGTAAATGTGCCTGCATTGCTCTGCGTGTCTAGGTAAGCCGGTCAAATGGGTCGATCTGTCGGCGTATGTTACGGGTTTAAAGGCGGTAACGCGAGTTGGCCACGAGGTACCATGGTTATGGTACCTCCTCTCCCCCCTTCTGCACCAGCTTGGGTCGTCTCATACAACAACAACAGCATGTGAAAGTGGTACACATTCATTTGGGGAGGTTCCATACAACAACTTAACGACCTCCTATATGTGAACTTAGGGAGGTCTCATGCAACAACTTAGAGACCTCCTAAATGTGAGTTTCGGGAAATCCCATACAACAACTTAGGGACTTGAATCGACTTGAGAATGGTCCAGGACGGACCGAAACGTCGTCGTCCCTTCAATTTCTAGTGTGTGGTCTGGTCAACAACAACTTACGGATTTTATATATGTCAACTTTGGAAGGTCTCATGTACCAACTTGGAAAGATCTCGCACACAAACTTAAAGGGAAGGGGGAGGGGGGATTATGTCGACTTCTTGTCGGTCGAAAATACTGCTGTTAGTTTACGGTTTATTTATTTCGAAAGCTATTGTTTCATAATGTGTTTGTTGTGCTTGTAGTGCTCCTGTATGGTTAATACTGGTGATGGGGCTGTATTGTTGTGAAATAAGGAATATGCAGCTTGCGTTTTGGGTAAAAATAAGGAAACCGCAGCGAGCATTTTTGACTTAACTAAACTGCAGCTGACGTTTTGGACAAAAATAAGGATAGCAGGTTGTATTTTAGACAAAAAATAGAGAACATCCTGCTTGTATTTTGGAAAAAATGAAGTAACGGCAGTTTGTATTTTGTACAACAATAGACTACAGCTTGAGTTATGGACACAAATAAATAAACTGCAACTTGTGTTTTGAACGAAAATAAAGACGCGAAAACTTGTATTTTCGACAAAAATCAAGGAACTGCATCTTATATTTGAGACAAAATTAAAGAAAATGTGGCTTGTATTTTGGACAAAAATAAAAAAACTGCAGCTTGAATTTTGGACCTGCTGACTGATCAACAGATGAGTGATCTAGATATTAACTTAATCAATTCCAAAAGATTTTTTTAAGGGATGAAATAAACAAACAAGAAACAAGAGAAGTCAATAATTTATATATATAAATTTTCCCTCCATTCAAAACAACAAAGAAAGACATCTTTTACGCATTCCTGAAAGTTATAACGTAATGTAATTACCTTATAATTTAATTAATTTAAGTTATAATGTAATTAATTTGTTGATTAATTTAGTTTTCATGTTTTTTTTGGTTTGGTGTTTGGGTTTTGGCCTCGTAAAAGCAAAAGGGTTATTCCACAAAAGGGTTATTCCTTTATTCTGCATAAAGGGTTAAAAGGGCTTCCACAATAACTGCCTGACTAAAAATGCTATTTTGGTGGTTAGCTTAAAACCCTATCACCCTCTGGAGGGCTATTAAAGCCTCCACAACAAATTACTGACCATCTAGCAAGAAACACTTTCATAAACTTCATTAATTTTTGTGTATCTTAATTAATTCAGTTCTTGAAAACGTTTTTTGTTGGAAGTAATTTTTTGTTCATAATTTTTATTTTTTATGAGTTATCTATTTTTGATAATTGTTTTTCTTTGCCTATTAATTTTCCACTAAGAAGCTGACATATATAAGTGGATTTTTTTTTCATTATTCTTTGGAAAAGATTCCTTGATAGGCCTAATTACAAAATGTCATTAGACGATCATTTGAGAGAACATGTTCAACATCAGGAAGATTTCCAAAACTGACGTACAACTAATTAAACCAGTCGCCTATTAAGCTTTTTTTTTTAAAAAAAGATTCTAAATTAAATTAAATTTTTTAAAATATATTTCAGCAAGATGTGTAATATTAATTTTTTGGAGCAAAAAATCAGCAATTTGATAAACATTTAGTGTTCTCCTTGAAGGAGATATTTCATGTGATGATATTTGATCAAAGTCAATAAAGTTCCAACTTAAAATCCTGGTATGAAACTTGTATAAAAGTATGACCAAACACACACACCAGAAGATGAAGAATCGACGACGTTTCGCTCCGTCCTGGACCCTTACATCAAGTAGTGTGTCAGAGACCCTAACATTTAGTAACGCAGGTATAGCATAGTCTGACGTTAGCAGCGGTAATGTCTTTTTAAACACAGTGGAGGCTGGACGTGCTCTATGCCACACTCACTGCACGCGCGTGTCTGATGTTCTTTAGATAAACTCATCTGATTAATGGCGTATAATCACTGGACAATTTAGGTGGTGGTTGTATCTCTGGGGTCCACTACAGCTTACCTGGTCACTACTTGCTGTGATGTTGTGTCTCTGGGGTCCACCACAGCTTACCTGGTCACTACGTTCAGTGGTGTTGTGTCTCTGGGGTCCACCACAGCTTACCTGGTCACTACGTTCAGTGGTGTTGTGTCTCTGGGGTCCACCACAGCTTACCTGGTCACTACGTTCAGTGGTGTTGTGTCTCTGGGGTCCACCACAGCTTACCTGGTCACTACGTTCAGTGGTGTTGTGTCTCTGGGGTCCACCACAGCTTACCTGGTCACTACGTTCAGTGGTGTTGTGTCTCTGGGGTCCACCACAGCTTACCTGGTCACTACGTTCAGTGGTGTTGTGTCTCTGGGGTCCACCACAGCTTACCTGGTCACTACGTTCAGTGGTGTTGTGTCTCTGGGGTCCACCACAGCTTACCTGGTCACTACGTTCAGTGGTGTTGTGTCTCTGGGGTCCACCACAGCTTACCTGGTCACTACGTTCAGTGGTGTTGTGTCTCTGGGGTCCACCACAGCTTACCTGGTCACTACGTGCAGTGGTGACTGTGTCTCTGGGGTCCACCACAGCTTCCAGAGATTCAGACGTGATGGTAAGTGGTGGTAGTTCGTGTTGCTTACCGATGGTTAGTGTTGATTGTGTTACATGGTCTTTACCTGATGATGGTTGATTGTGGGTGTTGAAGATTGTGTTGCCAGGTGTTTACTTAGTGATGAATGGTGTTGGTTGGTCTTGGTTGGTCTTGTGTTAAGGTTGGCTGGTGTTGGCAGGTGTTAGCTGGTGTTAGTCCAACAATGCCGTATTTTACAGCAGTTGTTCATAAAATCCATTGACTATGGAAAACAAAGTCTACTAAGATTATTAACTATTCCAACACAAAGGCCGCTCTTCGTATGTTGCTCCTGAGGGGTCTTGTTGCACTTCACGCAGTAGCAAGGTCTAGCTTGCACCATGTGCATTATTCATGCAATTATTGCATAAGGTTGTCAACCAATTTAAGGTTGGTTGTCAACCAACAAAATTACAATTTTGTGCGATATGGTAATATGTAATTGGTTTCGTGTGATATTGGACGTAAGTCCTAAATTGACCTTGTTAAAGTTATTAAATACACAGCAACAGTTGACTGAAGTCGTCAATATAATCTAGCAGTAATGTCTCAGTATATATATATATATATATATATATATATATATATATATATATATATATATATATATATATATATATATATATAATATATATAAATATATACTTCAGACCTTCTGAAGATGTATTTAATATACGAAAGTACTTAAGGAAATTTCCTGTTTCATTTTTCCTCCGTGGTCTGACATTGTCATACATATATATATATATATATATATATATATATATATATATATATATATATATATATATATATATATATATATATATATATATATATATATATATATAACACTATTACGTTCATCACTTAATATGTATTTTGTGAAGGTGAAAGAAAGACGCAATATATGTATAAATGTATTAGAACTAAATTTTCGGATTTTCGAGATTTTTAATAAATTTATACATAGATTCTTTCCAGAGTCCTTCTTTCAACTTCATTCAAGCCCTACGGCATTGTAGTAAGTTTATCGGTGGGTTATCTTATTAATTGAAATTGAATGATTAATTGGTATCCTCCATTCCTGTTGAACAAGTTAGCTTTATACGATAGCAATGAGGTGAATATTGAATAAATGTACC